AATAATAATAATAATAATAATAATAATAATAATAATAATATTTTAATATTTTTATTATTATTATTCATAACAATAATAATAATAATAATAATAATATTTTAATATTTTTGTTATTATTATTCATAACAATAATAATAATATTAATATTTCAATAATAATAATAATGTTTTTAATAATAATATTTTAACAATAATAATAAAAATAATATTTTAACATAATAATAATATTTTTATCATTCACTTATTTCGAACGCTTGAAATTCTTCGCAGACTTTTACTTTTTTCCTATCAAACGTCGAAAGCCGCAGAGCTTCCATCAGATGTGATTCGTACTGCGCATATTACTTTTGGTAGCGCCACTGCCAGTTCAACCAACTTATTCTTCAGCAGCCACCAAATTATTCATCCGTTACGGCTTTCGACTGGCATTTATGACTGCCCGCTTCTAATCGCTTGTGGCTTCGTTGAAAGCCTCAAATGGAACAAGAAATTTCTACATCAATTTCAAGTCATTGAATGATCTTCATCTATATTTCAATAGATCATAGACCGTCGGTGAATTCACCCGTCAAAACGTTTGATCTACACTCTAATCAAAATCAATCAAAATCTGATTTTTTTCCACTGTTTTTTTAAAATTAGCATTAACGAATGAATGAAAATAAACAACTCGATCAACTGAGAAACTCTCGTAAATTTATCTGTTCAATGGATCATATCACGAAGCGATCAACGAAAGCAATTCTCGTTAGAATGACCGTGTTTGCTGATGTTTCGTTAGAACTTGTCGCAATAGATTTTTTCATTGTTGGCCTAATATTGAAGTCGAACTATATATGTGCCCAGCGTTATCACACCATCATTACTTGTTAGTGGTTCTTAAAATAGCAATGAGTGATTTTCGCAAGGATTCGTTTAATTATTTGGCCAATCATTTAATTCTTATCGCAGTCACATTCGAAATTCCCTTAAATTTTTTCATATTCTTTCATGAGCAATGATAATTGTTTTCAATTCTGTGAACACTGCTACCACCGCCTTTATTTGAATTGTTCACGCAAACTATATGGAAGTTCAAGCCAGTACGTTTAATTTTCGTTCACCTCTTCAATTCACAAAAACAACTGGTCTTATTATTGAAATCGTTGCAAGTGATTTCTTATGCCTGTAGACATTTGTTTTGTTTCGTATATTTACAGATTATGACTATTATTCTGTGGATTGTATGAAGTTGATAATACTGATGAACACCGTTCGTACTGTCATGATTTTATGCAAAGGATTCGAAGTGATCGCATTCATTGATGCTCTATGAAACATCTGATTTATGTTCTCATCGTTCAAGATGTCAAATTATCATATGATCATTGTTGACGTTAAGCCACCTGCTTACTGAGCAATCATAAACAAAAACAATTTTATTTGTATCGAGATAAATTAATGTGTCTATGTGCTGAATAGATTTTAATGATCAATGAAGCACAGCTTTATGGATAGCGCATAAAATCCACGTTCGTTTCATCTGCTCCCATTCGAACCTAGGCTCACTCTTAGCGTTATATTGACGAGAGTAAAACTCTGATTTTAATTATTATTTTGTCACAATAATGAATGCTTTTTATGCGCGACGTTCCAAAGATGCCACAAAAATTGTGTCGCCAAAAAACTCAATTTGTCTGTTTTCAAGGGAGAAAGAGAGTGTGAAAAAAATTCGTGAAGAAGAATTTCCTATAGAATAATAGGAATCTCTGTGAGTAACAACAACAACAACAACGGTTCTGTTCATTGATTGCTTGCGATCGTTCTGTGTCGTTTCTTGACCGCAGTAGCATTTGACTCCTCAACAGCAAAGCGAAAACGTCCAATTGGTTCAGAATCAGAATTAGAATCAATTCTGCTGCAAAAATGCTCAGCAATGGCGGTGATGACATGTTCGCTAATGAAACAATGCAAACAATCGAACAGATGGATCTAACACATAGTGTTTCCGAGAAAGTTGAAATGATTTACCAGATTATTTTCTTCATCGTTGGTACACCACTTAATATCGTCGCACTCATTCAATCCACAAGGTTTTTTTTTCTCTCATTTCAGTTTTGTATTTTCTATGTTTCTTCTACCCCTCCAGGCTATCACTATCACCATTGTCATCAACGACACCCTTCATCAAAATAACTACCAGAAAAGGCATGTCGAACAGACAATATTTCCGCCCCAAATTTACATCTATCATTCACCTCATCCACTCATTGATCCCACTATTCATCCATGAAACTGGCTGTTGAATAAAGTGATGCAAAATTTTCGAATACTAAGGCTATGTCGTCGTTCGAGAGATGGTGCTGAACGACTCGTAAAAATGAGTCAACAATTACTGATTGCACATTTGCTCGTCTTATGTATTTATTGTGTTTGGCGAACGCATTGGTTTTTGAATATTGTTTGGACTCAAGGTGATATTTTATGTAAGATTTATTCGGTTGTTAGTGCATTGCCATTTCATTTATGGTCGAATATGGTGGCTGCTATTGGTGTGGATATGCTATGCTGCATAACGTTAGTTCATCAAAGAATTCTAACTTTTACGCACTTTGCATTGTGTTCCACTCTGCCATGCATAACAAACCATTGTGTCATTGCCGAAAAACTACTAGCCTTTTCATTGTTCATTGCGATTTTGCGTTCGCATAAATGCTCACTTGCAGTTCTCCGTTGAGCAGTTATCGTACGAGCTCAACGCGTGTCACATGGCTAATCGCAATTTCATGGCTTGCTGCGCTGCTTTGCTCCATTCCAATGGCCATTTTCAGAGGTATGCTAGTTTGCAGTCTTCTTCAACGTATTCCTTTTGAATTTCACTTTGCTAGCAACCATTTCTTCACTGTTCTCCTTTCCAAGATAGCGATCGTAGATGTTAACGTTTCGAATGCAATCAGTGCGTCTAGATCGCATCGTTTGAATTAAGTGCGTCTAGATCGCATCGTTTGAAACTGTTCCACAATCTATTTGTTCAGGTTCCATTCGAATTCCTGGTTCTAACTTCGAACAATGTTATCCAGTGATTGATCGCTACAGTGAGAAGGTGACTATTTCACTTGATTTGGAATTTTATTTACGCTAATTATATTATCGATACTCTTTAAAAACTATTATCCACCTGTGCAAAATGCTTCCTGATTAACTGTTGAGTGGTATCAGAGCAGAAAGGATAATAATTGACAGAATAATATCTTTTATTCTAGGTGCTGTTCTTGTTTAATGTTTTCCATGTGATCACGACGTTCTATGTACCGCTCACAATTGTTATCGTATGCTACACTCTAATCGGGTTCTCACTTCGTCGTCAAATGAGCATTCAAAGAAGTGTTCATGATGAAAAGAGACATGCTTTAATGTGTGCAACACGAATGCGTTTTGTACGAGCATCGGTTGCTATCATTGCTACCTTCTTACTTACCTGGATGCCATATCAGGTTCGTACATTTTACAATTTCGGCTGACATTAATCATAATAAGATCAATTACAGATACTCGCACTGCTGCGTGTTCTATGTGCACATGGTTCTAAATGTGAACAAATTGCGTCCAAGCTGAACTGGCTTCAAGCTGTTATCATTGCCAGGTAAAGGTGTTGTTATTGCTATTGAAAGTAGCGAATGATAAACATATGATAATTTTCAGCACATGCATCAATCCATTCATTTATAAATTCGGTAAATGGCGATCGCATAAAGATTCAGTCAGATATTGCAGCACTTCAGAACGTGCTGTCGTCATTAGTGCGTCTAGAAAACGACTTCGGACCGAAGTGAATTCATCCGCCTCTATACCGCTTCTAATCGTTGACAATACTTCATCTCGAATCACCAAACCATCCTAGCTATTCGAGCACTCTCCATTGGTATTACTGTTCGATCACTGTTGACATCATTGCTATCACTAGAATTAATGCTGTCCATGTGATCATTATTGTTATTTTTATCATTGTAGTGATCTGTATTAGCAATATCGCTGCGTACACGATTTATATAAATTTGAGTTGTTGCATTTGTCACAATAACAATTATTCAAACGGGTTTTTGTTTTTCATTTACTTTATTTGTAAATTATGCGCTCACGTTTATGCCTGATCATCGTTTCAGTGTTTTGATGCTTCAATGAGATTAGTAATTCGGCTCATTGCTTCAGTGAAAAATTGATCTTGTTTGGTCGAGTGATATGACGAAAAATAAGTGGAAAATAAATTGAAGATAAGCAAAATTTATGATTTCCCCAGAGAAAATGGTCATAATTAATCAAGTAAAATTCCTGTGCTGCATCTACACTGCCTCAACTTTGGGTATTCATTCACCTTTTGTTCTGATCATTCGAATAAAACTTTTCTGATTATCCACACATTTTCATCAACACTATATCATGAGGTCGTATGACCTAAATGGCTCGCTACTGATTGCATGGAAGTTAACTTCACCAGCATGATTTTACACGCTTCTTCGTTGCTCTTTTCTGGTTTAGTCCGAAAGAGTGGCCGTTTAGTTTCATCATACGGACATGGAACTCAACCTCAACCTTCTGAAAATCACATAATCGCCTCGAACACAGCTTAATTCAAGATTCCCACCACTGATCTCTTCAGACTAGGGTTTGCACAGGATCCCGGGATTACAGTTCTGATCCCGATCCCGGGATTTAAGTTTTGGAAAATCCCGGGATTTCGGGATTTGATAAAACAGGTCAATTTGTGTGAATTTTGATAGTATGCCTATCTTGAAGGAAGCCTTAATCATTCCCATCTAATTTATACGCAGTTATCTTTGCTGTTTGATGTTCAGCTAAGGAAATAGACGCAATTCGGACGATTGACATGATCAACGACAGCTCGATGAACTTTTACGTAACATTTCATTGAATATTCAACTGATTATTCTGCTCTTCATTGGTTTATATCACGTTCATCTGAATGCATTTCTATGTGATAGACTAACAGAGATAATCACATTTTCTAAGAAAAACCAAGAGCAACAAAGTTCAATGAAATGTTGAGTCGTTTCCTCCCACAAGATTTGTTCGGCTTCAATATTCCCTCTGTTAATTCAACTGCATGTTCCAAAGACCGCAAGTCTTTTTACTTCGTATCGAAATGTACATAAATTCTCACTGAGTTCACTCATAGTGAGAGTTCATTGCCGAAGTGAGCAAAGTTGTTCCATTCAAAAGGATCTTATGCTTGAATATCAAGTATATTTGCATGAATTTTGATCGAAATTATCAAATATTTAAGTGCTCGATGGTTCGATGAAAATCCATTGCGGATATCTTTTTTACCTTTTTAGATAAACCTCGAACATTTAATTATTTCGAAATTCAAATTATATAATTCATGCGGTGCATTTCTTCCGTTAAAAAATCGAAATTTACGAAACGGCAGAATTCAGCTGACGTTAATACTGAGAGAAAATGGTCTTGAAGCATTGCAAATAAGTGTTTGCGAATCAAGAATTTCATATTCACATACAAGTGTACTCTTATTAGCTTACACCCGAGATGACAAGATGTCTTAGCATAGAATATGCAGTATGCCCTTGCGGCATGATCATTGGCATCATTATATGAAATACTAATTTGAATTTGAATACTTAGTTCCCTGAATTTGTTAAATAATTTGTTGATTCAGCTCCTTTCTGATTAATAATGAACATATTGGTTCGAAAAAATGTGTTTAAACATGTCCCGCAATGATATTTCAATAATTGTTCGATCCCCGGGGTCAAAAATCGATCCCGGGATTAAATCCCGATCCCGGTATTGAAAAATCGTCGGGATTTTGCAAACCCTACTTGAGACTAGCTGCACGCTCAGTTTTGATCATTGATTCAACAACGCATCTTTGACGATGTCGTACAGATGGCTCTCAGCTATCAAAAAAAAGTACATGTTTCTAACGAAAAATTCATAGAATTTAAAGCTGTAGTATGCGACTTAAGTAAAATCTTTCGTGGTTCGTTCCTGGAAAGATAAACTAATGACGATGAACTTCTTCATTGCGAACCCAAACCACTTGCACCGGTCGATAGCTTGGCTTTTTCTGAAGACGTTTCATCATTTAGTAGATCTCACTTGAGACGTTTTCTTGTACTTGGAGGGACTCTTTCTAATCGCGATTTTGTTTCATTTCCAAGTGTTCTGTTGACTGTTTCGTAACGTTTGCTGTCAATTTAAGGACATCACTTTCGTTTCTATTCGTTATTAAACCAGTTTCTGAACTTTCGCACAGTTTTGTTTTCGGATTTTCAGTTCTGGTGATATATTAGTAACAAACGTGGAAAAATGTCTCGTCGTGGTGATCCGCTTGATTGCAAAGTTTACGTTGGTGGACTACCACAGGATGCTACTTCACAAGAGGTATAAATAGTGTTCCATTTCATTTCTGGAAACACTTGAAACCGTTATGTGATGATGGTTCATCGACATTGTGTTTGTTTCTTAAGGTGGCTTTTGTAATTTTAAAAAGTTCCAGGTGGAGGATGCGTTTAATCGCTTCGGCCGTATTCGAAAAGTTTGGGTGGCAAGACGTCCACCAGGATTTGCGTTCGTCGAATTTGAAGACAGTCGTGATGCTGAGGATTCTGTGAGAGCACTTGATGGAACGTGAGTTTCACTCTCATTTTGATTGTATTACCTCAGTGTATGCCAAGTGTTGAAAAGCTGTTCATCGTAGTTCCTTATGAAATCACTCAGAAATGAACTTCTGTCCCTGCGTGCCTCTATCCTATCTCGCTTATTAATTCATTCGGTTTAAACACAGGCGTATTTGCGGTGCGCGTGCTCGTGTTGAGCTCTCACACGGACGCAGACGGAATCCTGGAGGTTATGGCGGCCGTGGAGGCTATGGAGGAGGGGGAGGAGGAGGAGGAGGAGGAGCGCCACGCCGTCGTTCAAGGTTTGTCGTTCGATGCTCATCGCAACATCATCGATTGATTATCTTTGATGAGCACGTATATTTAATTTTACCTCCCATCCTGATCGATTTCATCAAAAAAAATTGTGCAAGAACCATTATATTTCCCAGCTAACTGTTGAATGGAGTTAGACTTGCAAGAGCTTGTAAGAGTTATTGAGTGTTCAGTTTAACAGTTTCTTACTGCTTTTATGCTAATATGATCTTGATGAGATAGATAGAGATAGAAAAAATGGTTGTTCAGGAACCCGACGTTTCAAGAAAGCAGAACATCAGGCACTGAAAAATCGACGTTTGTTTTTAAAATTGTTGGTCTTTTGTGAAGCGATTTTAGAAATTAATTGGTTGTGTTTTCGTGATTATTGAAAAATTCGATGAGGAAGCATGTGAAAGAAAATGAGAATGAAACGATACGAGAAATTTCCTGGAATCTTATTAATTTTAGCAGATCCCAACGTCTTCACGACATCTCTACTTCTCCATCACCAACACCGCAACTGCTATCACCATCATCACTACTTCTTTCATCATACGTCTTTCATCCTCCCTGAACTCACACACAAACAAACCAGAACACTCAAAATATTATCATCTTTACGCGTACGGCATCTGCAAATTCGTTGAAATGAAGTCATTTACTGCAATCTGCAACCAGTGCTGATCACCACATCAGCTGCTACCAAATTACTGCGCTACGCTACGCTACTTCTGCTTGTCATAGCACACATCTTTAAAGAACCATCCTTAGACATCCATCTTCTTGAACTGAACTGCCACCTCTTCACATACACAAACACCATAAAAGCAATCAGCCATCCTGCTGGTAAGAGATTCATCAACGACGATTTCGATTCGTTCGATGAATCTTCTCATATTACACTATAACAGCAACAACATTTTATCGTTCGTAAGATTGAAGAATCTCCCTATAAAGCTCTATTAGGTGTTTGCTCATGTTAAGTTTTGTTAAATGAAGAACTTTTTTTGAACGGTGATTTTTTTTGTTTGTTTACTGACGGTAATATTCGTTTCTGTTTGTAGTCTTTTAAATGAGTAGATGTCAAAATATTCACAGGTATTTTATTATGTTTAGGATCTATCATCCATCAGGATGATTTGCTTTGTGGATAGCGTGAGTTTGATTACAATATTCGGTGATACCCGTTAACCTTGAAATATTCTCAGTTCTAGATCACCTTATCGTGCTCGTAGTCGTAGTCGTTCAAGAACACCACCAGCACGCAGATCGTCACCCAGATATGAAGCGGATCGCCGAGGTTACAGTCGTTCGCTGAGTCGGTAATCTATTCATGTTTGTTGCTCTGACTACTTCGAGTGGAATGAAATTACTAAATTCATCCGAATTAAGTCCTCACTTATAAGTGTTACCTTTGCTTGAATAGATAATGGGAATTTTGGATGAATGTAATCAAAAGTTTGGTTATTGATTCCGTGCTGTGGTGTTCAATTCGAATATGCAATTAATTTGATTCCTCACTTTTTGTGTTCTCAGTTAATGCTGGAACTGAATGAACAAATGAGAAACGTTATCGTGAAGAAATAAGATGAATGGATGGATTGCTTGACGACGTTGGCGTTATACGTATTACTTCCCTTCAGCGTCAACATTCGCTTAATATTTATGCATCCGTCCCAAATAAATATTGATCTTATATCATTCTATTATCTCATCAGTCGTTGTTATCGTTATCCTATTCGCGTTTATTTGCTGTTGTTTAGACAATGAGGTGCGAATACATTATTGTTTTCTGATGTAATACGTATTAATTTTCTTATTTATTGTGCGTCAAGTTATAACATCATCGGAAAAATGGGGTAGGATTCGGTGTCATCGTATAGTAAGAGTAGATACTAACAAGGATTTGTCTGCATCAAATATTTTGAAGAGTGGAAGAAGAGCGATAGTGCAAATCTGCTGAACGGATTGGATTAATCATTGTGTGGTTTATTCTAATCAAGAATGGTGTGATTGAAACAGTTTGGGGAATAGTTGATAAAATTGGTGGGAGTGATAAATTTTCGTTTTGGGAATGTTTTAGCTTCGTTGTGTTGCTGTGCTATGCATATTTGTATGTACTGTTGTCTTCACAGATCAATTTTAATCCACTTTGAAAACCACTTTGTGTTATGTTCCAATTTTCATTCATTATTTATTTGTTTTGATTTCGTTTTCTTTTCTTTTTTGTTGTCATCTCTAAAGTGTGGCAGTAAATTGTCGCCATCGTAAAGGATTAGCATTTTTGATTGTTGTTCGTTTCGTTCTTGTTTTATAAATCACCTCACCGTTCTTGTTATTTTATTCGTGTTATCATCACTTTCATTAATGTGTTCGTCGATATCATTTGATTGATTATGGTTGCTGATCACTACTTGTTATGTTTGTTTGTTCATCGTTCACGATTGTATACGTTCTCATTTTGTTGCGCAATAAACGTTGAATTTTCTTTTTCATGTTTCACGCAAATAAGCTCAAGTCACTTGAAGTTTTTTTTGGATGCTAGTAGAATGAAGAGTGCTCCGAACATTTCGTGTCAGTTAGTCAGTCGACAGAAGTTTTTTTTACGTGATTTTAGAGAGTGATCGACGTAATATTCTCGAAAAGTCATGTATTTATAGTTCGCATAATCAAAGAAATGAGCGAGTAAATAAATGATGATAATAAGCCACTGAGCAATGACTATGTACAAACAAAACAATACAGGATGGATTAACAACGGCCAAATGCAGTTAGCGAGTTAGTTGGTCAGCGTCAATCACTGTTGTCATCGCTTCAATCACGATGGTATATGGAATGAACAAGCGTTATTTGAATATCGTACGGTCATAGGCGAGTGCAATAATGGGAAAAGAATTCACGTTATGTAAATAAGTGAGCAATACATTATCAAGAAATTCAACTCAACGATGAACGAAAAAATGCACTGTTTCAGTGACAACAACAACAACGGTCACCAACATAACAAAAAACTCAATTCAGCACCACATTTTTTGAATTGTTGTTGCAGTGATTTAGCGAAATAACAACATTCACCACATTTTAAAAAATTGTTGTTGTTACATTTTCCAGTAACTATACCAATAATAACAGCGATGAAACCATTAAAAAATGAATTAATGTATAAATGAGACCGACCAAACGTACGGATGGCATAGTTACGGTACGGTACAACCGAACGACAAAAAGCAATGAGAATGAGATCAACATAAAACCTCAGTAGAAAATAAACGAAAGTGTCGTTTGCCGTTTGGCAGCTGTTTGTGATTCCACCTCGAAAAGGAAACAAATTTAAGCTATCAGAAAAAGATATGAAAGTCCGGAAAAAATCCTTTCAGACTTTGAAATTGATGAAACATTTTGATGGTATGTGTGTGCGTACATCAAAATGAGGTAGGCAGGCATTCACACTGTGAATTGAACTAAAATAGGAGCTTTGTTGAAAGATTTAATGATTTGAAATTTCTAGATGATTGTATCTCTCATTCGTGAGTTGTACAAGGGGGCCAGTTCACGCATTGGTATTTCGTGGCCAGGTTCAGATTTTTGAAGTAGTTGATAGGTAGCCACAATCGCGACAATGAACGAAAACAACAGAAGTATGGTACCAACACCGTAAATGAGAAATGCGGACCCAATTTCCTGCTGAAATTCTTAGTGATGATGATCGCGTTACAATGTGAAACAATCTGAATGATCCATAAGAAAAATACAAACTGCTGTTAATTGATATGCGTTACTGGGTGTATCATCTATCCAGAATTATTGAAGCATTCATAAAGAAATAATGGTGTACAAAACTCACCTCATATGTACCAACTAATCCTTGAACGAAACGACTGTCCACTCGATGAGCCGCAAAAAAGAAGATACCAATGGCAACAATCGAGAAAAATACTGCAAAATGAGCTTAGATATTGTTGATGAAAAGAGCCATTATCATACACACAGGTATTTGAAAGGAATCATCTGCTGCCAAACGGGCCACTGACAGTGTGAAGCATAGAAATGAATCAAATCGATCGGGCAACTTTTCTGGGGTATTCTTGAATAGTTGGCTGGCAGCTTATGCTAGGAAAGTTAACCGTCCGACAGTGATAGAGGAGTGTGAGTTGGAATTTTCAGAGTTTTGATGCAATTGCATGGTGCTTGCGGATGTTGGAAAACGTGAACACTTCACCAAAAAAAAGGAAAGCACAACGGATTTAATGAATTGGAAGTGAACTTAAAGTGGATAAAAACGAACGAAAACAAGTGTAAACAAAATGAATGCAAAACTAACGAGCAATAAAAATGAATATTGTGTAGAGCACAGCACAAGCACTATGGCATGGTGCACAAATACCAGAACAAATCGCAACACCGGCAACGATCAGTGAAACGAATATACAAATGAGAACTGCTTTGTGCCATCCTGAAAAGTCGACTAGTAATCGTAACAAAATAGCGTTCGTCAACTGATCAATGAATGAAACGAACCAAAAAACTGATGATGTTCAGCTTCTCCGGCTGCACTGTTCGCATCGATATCATGCAAATTTGCGTCAATCACTTCAGATGCACTATAATCAAATTTATACGTACAGGACAAAGCCATCGAATCGGACGAATGACCATCCATATGTTCCGAACGATGTGAATGGTCATGTGATGAGGGCATAAAATGCCGATGTGGTCGTGTACAGTCTTGCCATAAGCCATGCTAAATATTGTTTTATAATCGTTCATCAATAGATTTCTTCTGCTTTTATCTTTCAACTATGAACAGACATGTAATCTTAAGTGTGTAATCTCCATAATATATCTGTCGATAGATGCCATCGATTCTTCAGTAATTATAGCAAAAATTTATAGAAAATAATTGCATCAACAATAATAATCATTGCCGTAATGGTTTTCATACAATATTAACAGCTAGAGCTTTGAATATTTCTCGGTGAGTGGTGTTTATGAAGTAAGCTGAATAGATCAAATGAGAAATGCTGCTGCTTACATGATGGATGGCTCGGAATTCGCGTATATCGACCACTTGCCATGACGGTGACAATAGGCCACCAATACAAAGTGCAATACTGGTAAATAGAAGTATCAACGAGAGTACTAATACGATTGTTTGCGATAGATTCGACTTAGTGCTTTGCTCATGATTATCATTCATATAATTATTCATTATCACTCGTCGATGCACCATTAAAATGATACCACAACTGATACGACTGATTAATTCACATTAAATTTGTGAAAGAATTAAACGTCATCGAACGTTATACTACAGGAAATGATGATGATAACTGTCTACGAATGATATCCTCCTCTACAAAATATTCGACTGATTCACAGAAAATTCTAAGATGAAATTGGTACTTTTGCACTGTAATGGACCCCACCCCACGCGCCCATCGAAAGAGAGAAAAGGGATAGCCTTAGCATAAGCCTAAGGGGTTACCACTCAACAGCAAAACTCCTTTCGTTGTCTATGTGAACGACCATCCAAAGATAGAAAAGGGAAAGCCTCAGCATAGGCCGAAGCGTTGCTGTTTAGAGCTTAACGTGCGGTCGGGTCCACTACATCGCAAAAGTGCAATGGAATTCTTTTAATTCTAAAAATTCTAAGCAAAAAAAAGTAGACAGTTATCATTATCATTTCCTGCAGTATAACGTTCGATGACGTTTAATTCTTTCAATCACCAATACAGAAGTCTTTTTGATATTATTAGGCCAACAACAACGGAATGACAGGAAAGACATGTTAATGATAATAACAATTATGTTGCCTGTAAGAAGTTAAACAGTTACAACAATCCCACTAAAGTACTAATATGAACAAGAAAAATGAAGACAACATTAATGAAATGATACGATGCGAATGATCGAAAAGAGTGTGCGTAAGTGCAATGATTTGAACGGTGTTGATCTGAGATGAATGAATGAGGATGCGATGACCACTGCTCTTTCAAGGACATTTCAAAACGAGGACACGACAGTAGCGTCGTCGAAGAGGACGGGACGAAAAAGATGGGAAAAGGGTAATGAGGGAATGAACAATTTAGAATAATACCAATGGACAAATGAATGGATAGATATCTGTCGCACAGTTGCATAACAGCACATCTTTTAAAATCAATGAAGTGATTCGATAGCATTTCTTCGTTCGTTTCTGATATTTGTACCAATAATTATTGGGCTCGAGTTGACGATGACAGAAACGGTTAAAATTATTCGCTTCATCATTATCGTGACACTCCTCATTCTCAACAGTTGCATTTGAAGTAGGACGTAACAGTTGAATGCATAGTTTTGCTAATGATGGTAACAATGCTCAAGGTAGCAATGAAATTCACTTAAACTAGTAGGTGCATTAAATCCATGTGGTATGAATGAAAAAGCATCGAGTATTATGCTGATGCGCATGAACACATACTTTTACAATAGTATATTGAAGCTGTCAACCGATCAGCCTTCCTCTAATGTTTGTTATGCAGAGAGAGAAACGTACAAACCTGAATGTGTTGTTGTACCTTTAACATCATTCAAATTGTTTATTGAATGCATGGCTGGCTCTGCATGATGGCTGGAGTGATTGTTAAATGAATAACCTTTGTTGATCATTGCTTCTTCTACACTCTTCTTCTTCATTTCTTTGACGTACCTTTCGCCTACCTCACTTTCAGTTATAAATTTATCCACATCAAATAGTCATACCAACAACGACAGCTATAACAAGTGAACTTTCATGGTCATGACAGTATGTCACCTATGCGCCCACTCATCCAGCCAACCAAGCACCAGACCATCCGTTCTTATATTCATGTAATTCAACTTGAATCACTTAAATCAATCAACAACATCACTCTATGAATTCATTCACTTTGAAAATATGTATCTGCACATGTGCATTTTTTAGATTGAAATTTGCATTTTGAACAGCATTCGTTCAGTCATTGCTCAATTCGTTCGTTTCATCTGTGCTCTTAATGTAGAATGTTTATCATCGTTGAGTGAGTACGTTTATTTGAATAATTACCAATTCGAATCGAAAAATTCCAATCGCATGAATTCGAACAAAATGAAAAAATGAAAATGAAATGGAATGAAAAACAAAGTGAATGAAAATGAAAAAAAAAACAGAGTGAAAACGTGAGGAATCAAAATTTACGTAATCAAATTTACGTCATCATAATCAAAATTCACGAGATAATTTGTTAATCAATGAAGAGAAAATAATTGAGCAGCAAACTGTCTGTTACGGTCATAATACTTCAAGACTAGGTGTTACTGAATTATTGTACTTGAATAAAAGTGATGCGAAAGAACAAATTGAGTGAGCACAAATTATGACTGAAACATCAAAAATATGATAAATGAATGAAATGAGATACATATTGAGGAATGACCACAATTGTAACAATCAATCGGTTAGTTATCGTTTAACTGATATCATGTTCGAATCAGTTGAAATTACGCAAAATATACCTGTAAACATAAACTTATTTAAACATAAACACATATATGTCATAATTTTAACATATGTCTCAAAGCGATTGAAGAAATACGTAAGCAAATTCCTTCGTTGCGATTAAACCTTAATTCATTGTTAGCGGTCTTCTGTAAAGTACCATGCCCGAAATACCCAAAATTTGGGGAATTCTGTGCCTGATTACTGGTCTATGCGTTTCCAAAATCACTCATAAACAAGAACTATGAATCGATCATTACAGAAACTTTAAATAATGTCATAATCAAAATTTACAAAATAATTTGTCAATCAATGAAGAGAAAATAACTGAATTGCAAACTATCTGTTTTATATGAGTTTCAATAATGCATGAAATGTAAATCATGACGGTAATATCACTGTTCGCAAACTTCTACTAATAGTTTTTTTTTTGAAAGCTTAGAATCCGAATTAAGAGCGGAACTTCTTAGCTAGTATTTGAAGAAATGCAATTCATTCTCATGAAATTCGATGACACGAAGAAACAATTGGAACATTTTCATCAGCATCTCGCACGCAATAGTTTTGATGGACAAAGCAATGCACCATGAGTCTTTCAAAATTTCAGCACTGATCTCATGAATCTACCACGGCGTCTTTGCTCAGCTCTGTTCACCGATCGAACTGGCCTAAAGTGTGAATCTTAAAGATGTGAATGAACTGAGAATTTTCGCTTTGATCTGTCGAAGTGAATCTTGAAGAAAACGGAAAATGAAAATATTCGGAAACGTTACTAAGGTTCAGAAGGTTCAGAAGCGACGAATTAGTTAATGAAAGTTAAAGTTCTGATATAAATTAATGAAATTGTCACAAATAATTAATAACAAAAAAAGAAATAAGAACTGATGATGAGACAGATACCTGCGAAGAGGATGGATTTCCGATCGAGGTAATGGTGAGCACCACCCAGGGCTACCGACTGGACACAGTCCACGATTGCACAATTCGTTATCAGCATGACAGTAAAAGTACTCCGGACAATCCCCTTCCTCAACAGAGCATCGGCGGGTTTCAGCTGCAAATTCCTACCAATTTTCTCCTTGCTTCAAAGCAGCTTCGGATCGTTATGGATGACCTTTTATCGTAAGGAAAACAAATAGCTTTCATCTCAATCGATTTGAGTATTTCTGGTGGTGACTTTGATCAGATCTTTTAACAAAAATTCTGGAAAACTGCTGAGATATGAAACCTGAATCGCAATGACGACCGCTGAACTGAGTGCTATAACATTCGCATTGGCAATCTTCATTTAAGTTCCCGTAGTCGCACCACTCAAAACAATCTGAAAAGTGTCAATCAATTTGGTGTGAATCAATGAAATTTGCTCGACTGCCTACTTGCGAGTATTGTTTCTCATTCAATATTCAACAATGACCACAAAAAAACAACCGTTTAATTCATCATCCTCGTGGCCGTCGTCAATTTGCATTGCATTAATCAATAGCCACTGGATAGCAGATCAGGTTGAGGAATGTGGCTCAGACCTATATTGACTGTTTGCCATGAACAAGAACGAATAAATAAGTGTAGAATCAAAATACCTGCATTCGAAAACACCGTCTTTGGTGCAGCCAAGAATACGATGAAGACGAATAAAATTTGAGACGTGAACATTGTTACTGAAAATGGTATTATAATGAATGACTGAGAACAGTTCTGAAAATGATGAATGATTCCAACAAAAGAAAGGTACATGCACGATGAATGATTTTATCAAAAGAAATGTGCTATCAAAAAGGAGACTCTCGAATTCGAAGCAACAGATGGAGTATTTCGGACGGTGATTTCTCGTTGCTTTGCTACAATGTGCTTGCTGCGGCCACCTTATATAACCCTTCAGTGATGCATCTTATCAGTGGATTCAGTGATTTATTATCACTTTACAACTGTGTTTATCAGTTCTTACTGGTTAAGATAAAGCAAACAAATAAAAAGGCACATTTTTAAAATGTCATGCATGCTGCTGCGGATTTGAAGAAGCGTTGGTCTTGTTGGTGCAACGATTAGTCAGTGAATAATCATCAATTTATAATTACTGCTACGTGATAAAATAATCATGAAAGCAGGACTATCAAACACTTTCTATTCAGTATGTGTGCAATTAAGCGTTTGTTAAATTTGATAATGACCACTGCAAGATGGCCCGCATAATTCTGCTGTGTATGACTCATTCAATCGAAAATCAAAATATTTAGTTGATTGCTATAAACTCTTCACTGACAAGTAATAAACTAACACATATATTAGTTTGGATTATAGAAATATTAATTTGGACCTACGTCACTTACGCCTACATCGAACAATGAGATTGTCATAAGGATGACAATAGTAACATTCATCATAATGATTCAATTCAATTCAGTTTTTTACTCGTTCAAAATAGAATACACTGCCTCAACTAGAGTTGGGAGGAAAAAAGAAAGAAGCGGACCGAGTACTATTTAGGAGGTTAAAATGAACGAGAACAATTTTGTAAGTGAAATGAAAATAAAATAGAAAAATAAAACAATTCAGATTGAATTCTTTACGATTGAAGTGCCACCGGAAGAACGTATCAAATTTTGATGGTGTGATTCTAGCACATGCTTTGAGAAAGTGGCAGTGCAAACACTGATTGATAGCGATGCGAATGAAATAAGTTACAAATAAAAATAATTTCTAATCCATGTCACCTCAAGCCTTTATTCGTATATTAATATCATAGCTAATATTATTATCGACTGTGTGCGTAAATCTTACTTTAGCTATTTACGTTTCGTCTTCACTGCATCCAACCCAAACACAAATAATTGGTATGTTGCAGAGCAACATTCTCATAATCGATAGTAATATTTTCGCTGAATTCCAAACGATAATTCGTAATGTAATATAATATCATAATTGTTCTATCATTCCAATTGCATATCATAATCGATAATAATATCATAATTGCTCGCTAAATTCCAATTGCAATTCGTTTCCTACAAGAAGATCTGTTTGCAATCAAATGAGATCGCGTAGGTGCGGATATTTTTTCTTAGAAAAAAATATTCGCTCGGAAAGAGATCGATCGAAGTTAGTGAATTTTTTCCGATTGAAATGTCACCGGAAGAATGTATCAAGTTTTGAAGGCATCATTTTATCACATGCTTTGAGGAAGTGGAAACGTAAACATTGATTGAAAGTGATGCGATTAAAATAAGTTACAAATTTATGCTCATAAAAATGTCAGCATGTGGGAGGTTCTGTCAACTTTAATCAAGGATTATGCTCTATTAAGGTCTCTGCACAACTTCTCAAATATGAATAATCTTATGTTGACATAACCAAATTTTTGCAATTGTTATACTTTACATTACACTTCTTTCTACGAAACATTTAGTAACGACGATGCGCTGTGGTCAATTTTCTAAAAAATAAGCTTGCCAGTTGTGAAATCAACGTTTGATTTTAAATTTGCTTCGCAACGTCATCACGTTACGTCACTAGTCAATTTGCTGATTGCTCATTACGCCTTCGTTTGTGTGATCAAATTTTAATGGTTCGATTTGCAATCGTTTATTTCTGCACATCAAACGTATGAACAATGAACGTACTGTTGTTGTTGCGGCTGCTGCTGCTGAACAATGCTGAGGGTCTATGATGGACCGAGCGACCTGAACCTCTCGCACTCTTATCACTATCACTGATAAAGTGTTCGTACATACATAACTGATAAGTGGATAACGCTGATAAGGATCCACGCAAAATCCACCGAAAATTTGACAACAACTTAGTGATCCAGCTCCGGCGCAGCATTTTTCGAAATTTTCGGTTCTAGCTCTGTCTCCGCATTTTATGAAACTTTGGCTCCCTTTCCAGCTCCAAAATTTCCTCTAATCCGGCTCTGAAACAATCAGGAGGCAAGAAAATTATCGTACAAGTCTTAGCTCCGGCTACTGATCCTGAGTGCAAAATGCAAAAAAAAAACTTTTTGATTGTACAAATTTCTTTTGGCTACAGAGCTCAGGCATCACTGTAAGTCAGTGGTTCTCACAGAGGGTGAAATTACCTATTTTGGGTAATTTGGAAGTATCAAGGAGTAATGGAAAGGGGTCGGGAAAATAGTATTTCGTGCAGCTGCTAGTTATGATAAAACACCATTGTCATAGTGTATTTTTCACTTGGATATCTGAACGCGGTTCGCTCATAAAAACACTTCTTTATTCTACTTTCTGAGCATCTCAGCTCGCCCAGATCTGAACAAAAGTCAATCTGAAGCAGTCACAATTATTTCGTAAGTTCTTTAATACATTTGCTGACATCGTCTCTCATGAACAGTAAGAAATGATCGAACTCATTGGTACGACAGAAAAGATCATTGGTTTGGTGTGGGAGAATCGAGTGTTTTTTGAATTCATTCATTTTTATTATTTGATTGCACTTAAAAGTTATGGTATATTTTCTAATTACTGTATATAAAGGAATTTTTGGTTCGTAAATGAATTTTTGTGAATGAAGTAACTGCTCAATCGTGTCATAGGCATCTGTTTTATGACAAATGTATATCATGTGGTCATTTTGCTTTGGGATTCTGCAGCGAAAATTATTTTCCATACTTATGAATGAGATGACCGATTTTTCGTTTTTGATTGCCGAGGTTCATATTGTTTCTGCAGTGGTGAATAAAGTTCTAAAAATACTTGTTTGTTTCATTACAGAAGAGAAGTGCTCATGCTCATTGACGTTGTCGTTGAGAATGTATGATTCATATGTCCAAAAAAACGTTATTAGTAAATTAGTAAAGATTGAATTCATTTCTGTTTTTAATAAAGATTGAATTCATTTCTGTTTTTAGTAAAGATTTTTTTCAACCATCATTGAATCGGTTGTTTGTTATTAGTTTGCATTCGTTTTTTGAAAGAGCAATTATTTGTCTCTTGATGATCAAAAATCGAGAGAAAATAGTCGCCGATCAGAATACCTTCAATTTGTAGCACATGCGAGTCGCCTTCACCTCCCGATCAGATGTATTTGTTTTGCACTCTTAACTGATGGCACACAGCTTGAGTTGAACTTGTTGTTGAATCTCTTTTATTCGATTTGGTATTTTTGCAAAATCGCGGAATTAACTTTAGTGCTTTCGAGTAATGTTCCTCATTCTATTTGATCAGCAACGAAGAATCGTCTTGTGAGTAAAAGCAAAGGCTAACTGAACGATTAAAACGCGAATGTGATCATGCATGAGTACATAAAACGTCGATTGTAAACGATTATTCATAAAACATCGTTTATAAATGAGAGTGCTCTTCGAACACTATCGACTGTAAACGACATATCAAAAGAAACTTGATCAAAACAATACACTGATTCTTAAACCAACAGAATAATCATACACGCATACGAATGTACGAGAGAAATTCGATGGTTAATGAAATGATAAATTCACATGGTTACAAAATCTTTGCATTCGAATTTCATCTTGATTCAAATACGTAAGATTTTGCTGATGTTGCTGCTGCTTGTACTTTTTCTGTTACACTGCTCTACTAACCGTCATTCTGACATCTGATTGCTAACCTCTGCCTTCCACCCTGTTCTGATGGTTCAACCTATGGTGACAAGTTCAAGCAGCATCTATTTGGCATAGAATTAGTGATGCAGAACCTATTTCCGAGATCTCACTGTACATGAGGTATGCGTCATTCGAATCGAAAATAGCTCTAACGATGCTAATAGATTGATATGAAACAAACAATACACCAGCAAATATAGAATGGATATTGGAACAAGAACATGTAGACTTGTAAAGAAAAGCATACAATTTTAAAGCATTACATTAATAAATGTATGATGCTTACTATAATAAACTACCTCTATAAATATATGCATATGAGGAATACAAAATATGAGATACAATATAGAAAAAAAAAAGAATTCTTATATTCAATAATATAATACCCACATGAAAAAGACTGTGTGAAAAATTATCAGTACTTTTACTACTATGGCACATCATAAATGAATAAAATCAATGATTTTTTTAAAGAACAGAACATAAAGAAGGGACTAGATAACTAATTAAATGAATTCAGTAAATAATAATGATCTAAGATGGCAGTTGCTTGAAACAGAAAATTTGTTAATGGAAACGACAATATTTATACAACGGAAGAAACAATAAGGAAGTAGTACGCACGCACATAAGTACGAAGAAAAAATACTATTTTGGCAAATTTGTTATGATGGAAGACTGGAATGAGCACTGCCTAAAAATGAAAATCATTTATTTACGTGGAAAACAAAAAGACAATGAAGCCGAGAAGCAAGAGGTAGAAGTAAGCAAGGGAATGTTAAATTCGACGCACAGTGGGTGATAGCAAGGAACTCAGAGAAGGAGGGGAGGAGGGGGGGGGGAAGGGCAGTCAGAGGGAGTTTAAAATTTAAAATGAAACTGCATGAGTGAACGACGACGAGATGACATCGCATTCAACGATAGGGACGACGTTGGCGATTCACAATAAATCAAAAACGAATGACCATGAACAACGATAGGTTAATTAATTGATCATATTTATGAAGATAACAACATGATTTTTGGAAACGAAAAAATTTCTTAATATTCAACTCGAACAGAACCGCTCGACTGGTCAAGCATTTCCGAACGAGAAAGACAGAGACAAAAAATGGATTTAGTTGTTAAAGATGGCGAGTGAAATAGATTGAGGATTGGTAGATATCAGGTATTACTGAACGTTTTTCAAATCGATTTTTATGATTGCCGATTCTGTATCACCACCGCCCTTCTTGTCATTCTTGAACGCTTGCAGCGCTCGATACGCTTCCAATTCTTTCCTCTCTTTCTTCTGGTTTCGTTTCTCGAATTCACGGCTAAACCAAAAATAATGTATAGATAGAGAGCTTCGAACAATTTCAAAAATCAGTTTTTTTTTCAGTCATTCAATGAGCTCGCTGAAACGAATTGAATAAGCCAATGGACACACGCACCGATGCTCAATGATTCTAGTGATTATCATATTTGTGGTCATATCACTACCCGAGTCAATCTCCTTATAGATGCCAAGTTCTTTGGCCACATTGAACGGATCCGGTTCGCCTGGCAACTCGTGACTGGCAATACGTGATCCGTTAGCGACTATCTGAAGCAACGGAAAATATTGAGTACGTGCAACAATAGCAGCGAAAAATTGATATAATCTACACCGTGATATCTTTGTGGCAAAAACACTGAAGGTGTTCGAAAAGAATATGTGCATTCACATACCTGCACGTTGAAGCGTTCGATGAGTTCTTTTGTGATCGTATACGGTGCACCAATAACAACTTCAGAAACTGGCTGAAACAGCGAAGAAAATTTATGTCTGCTTCAGAGAGATTGGTGCGCAGATAAAGATTGATTACTAGAAGAGAACAGGCAATTTTTCATGTAATTCAAAAATTATGAAAGGAATTGATGAAATCAGTTCGTTCAAGATGTATCACTGCAATCGACAAAGTTTTGTACCGCTATGATGCCGAGTACAGTCGCAGTCTACATCGATATGTTGAAGAAGAGAAAATTCGCAAAAAAAGAACCCAAAACAAGATCAATGAAACGAATACAACGAAATTTATTTTATCTTCTTTCATTCTCGCATTTCAGAGCTGATGAATACTTTTATTCTATCAATTAATCATCACATACTTTATAAGCAAGAACACTCAAAACGCGTTCGTGAAGCGACATTATCGGATGATTTTCGCCTTTATATTCGTTCACAACCTGAACACGGCAATATTTATATGAGGCAACAATGGTATTAGTAGCGAACAATAATGATAACTATCACAATAATTATACTGACAACGATAATAATAATAATTATTATTATTATTATTATTATTATATTATTATTATTATTCTAATAAGAATCAGTAAAGACGAGTACCTGATCAGAATGAATGCCAACGATAAGGTAATCGCCAAGTTTACGAGCCTCTTCAAGGAAGCATAAATGACCAATATGGAATAAATCGAATGCACCACAGACGTAAACGATCACGTCATCTTTGGCCGGCATATGTCCTTCAGCGAATTGCATGATTGTTTGAGTGGTTGGCAAGAATCTTGAAACACGCGTCCACGGTGAGACCGCTTCATGGTCCTGAACGTATCAGTTTCGTAACAAAATTCGAATGGTCAATGCTTGAAATGCGAAAGTGTCTTGAAAAGGAACCACAATTGATTCTACTAGAACAGTGGTTCTCAAGTTCAAATGCTCCATTACCCCTTTTGATGATCTGGCAGGCCGCCGTTGCTCCTCCCCACCGATACAAGAATTTACTATTTCTACGTATAACGTCAGTGACAAACGGAAAACCGGTCCGGAAATTTCTCAACGGCATGGGAAAAATTACTGTCGTAGACCATGGTGATGCTCATTACTGCAGTCGATTATGATTTCATGAAAAGCTATTGTCCATGACACGCTCACTTCAAACTGATTTAGATGGATTCTCATTCTTTTCAAACATGTTCTGTTCACTCTTATAGCTATTGTATGCGATTATCGTTCTCTTGATGAGTTTTCGTCATTCACTTCTTCTCATTTCACTTCACAGTTCGAATCAATTTCTTATTCTGTAGCATATACTATGTATTGGATACGTTGACGAGTGTTGACAGCCGAAATCAACAACACAGCAATCGAATATTATTGCCCAACAACGTTCGACAATCAAATGGTCAATTATAGAGTGTATTTGATGGAATGAGAAATTGACTTCAACTGTTGAGTGAAATGAATGAGAAATTAGTAAAAGAGAACACTTCTGGTGATAAAAGCTATGAGAGTGATTGTAACAGCAAGAAAAGAATGAAAACCCTGTTAGGCCCGGACGAGCTAACGATACTTAGAAAATAAGAGAATGAAGAGTGTTGCCATCAACTGACCACATTAACATACCCGAATTGAAAAACACCATAACAACCGTGTTCTATCATCAAATAATAACTGCACGAAGTACTAATTTCCCTACCTCCTCCATTGCCCCTTGACACCTCCAAATTACCCGAAATGGGTAATTTCATTCCCTATGACAACTACTCTACAAGAATTTAGGCAGTGAGCCTTCGGCTGCGTTCATCACTGATTTAGGCTGAGACTTACCCTGGCGTAAGCACAATTTATCAAGCACAACCCGTGTTCTTCGTCGAGAACTTATCCGAAACAAAGTATCAAAAAATACGAAAAATACCAGAAACAGACCGTACTCAACGACAGTGCACGTTCTCTATTTTCGACTGTCAATTCATCATTCAACGAGTGGTGACATTTCGTTAGAAGTAACATTCTCCCAACAAGATCCTTAAAAGTAAGCAGCAGATCAAGACGAGCGTCATCATCACATTTACTGTCATAATTAATAGCTTACAAAATGCTATTCTTATAGCTATTACCTCATTATAGCACACTTAATCAACATTAATAATGATTATAACTGAACAATACCGTTGTTGAAACACCCGGTGTTCGTTGGCATTCTTTATATCTACCACAACTTTTCACTTCAGCATACGTATCTACTCCTTCGGCTGTTAATGTTATGTCATCTGAAAATATTGTCTCACTGATAACTAGTAATAATAATAATAATAATAATAATAATAATAATAATAATAATTAATAATAATAATGATAATAATAATAATAATAATA